AAATGGTAAAACACTGAATGGTCAAAGTGATAAGAAAGTTAAGTAAATGAATATCTGAAATAATCTTATGGGAAGGAAGGATTGTTCGTCAATGGGTAGAAAACATGTTCTAATTAGATTTATCATATCGAATAAATAAGAAAAAATTAAAACTAAATTATTTGAGCAAGAATCTACAAAAAATTTCATACTTTGCCTTCTGTTTGGTAAGATGATGACTTGTCAAATCATGTAATGTGAATATAAATAACAACTAAAGTTTCATGGACTCATTAAAGCACAACTATTGTAATATGTTATTTATCGTATCAAAATGTTTTATCAAATTCTGTCTGGTGTTTGGGAGTTGTACAATCCTTTTAATTAAACCACTGATGCAAATAAGTTTGCTGTTCTGGACCCTGGCCAATTCTTTAATGCCAAACAACAGCAAAAAGGTTTCATCAAAAGGGAACACATGAAATAATTAGAAAAGTATATTGTTTGGCACAATTTCATAAACTAACAAACTTTTTTAGAAGTTGTCATTTGTTTGATTAAAAAAAACTATTCCAAAATTTATAATTGTTTTCTTCTATTAATCTCTGAAAAGAAGTTGAAGAATTAACAATTTATTTAACACACTCAAAATAACCATTTTTTATTTTTACTTGACAAATAGAAAGTATTTTTATGGTCTATAACATCATGTTTTTATACATATGTAAATTGTGGAAAGGCTCAATCAAGCTATTTAACATATTTGTTATCTCACATTATCATATTTTGGGGGCAAAAGCACATAAAATCTCCTTTTTTAGTTTTCAGGCATTCAATATACTATTATTGATTATAGTCACAGTAATGTACAATGAATTTCTTGAACAATTAGTCATCCTATCCGAAAGTTTGTCTTTTTCTTTTTGTGAGAGATGCAGAGAGAGAGAGCAATACAGAGTCAAAAGACATACAGAGATCTCCTATCTGCCAGTTCACTCTCCAAATGCCCACAACAGCTGGAACAGAGCCAGGCCAAAGCCAAGAGTTAAGAATGCAATCCAGGCCTCTTACATGGGTGGCGGGAATCCAACTATTTAGTCATCAATTGTTGACTCCCAGGATCTACATTGACAAGAAGCCAGAATTGGGAGCATGGCTGGGTATTGAACCCAGATACTCTGATATGGACGTCTTAACAGATGTCTTCACCATTAGATTAAAGGTCTGCCCCAAAAGTTGTCTTTTCACTAATACCTACCCACTCCACTCACCCCCTGGCATCTACTAACCATCACCATACTCTCTGTTCCTATGAGTTCAATTTCTTTTTTTTTAACATACCTAAGTAATATTATACAGCATTTGCCTTTCTGTGCCTAGTTCATTCTACTTCATCTATGCTGTTGAAAATAACAGCATTTTCAAAAGCCGGCGCCGCAGCTCACTAGACTAATCCTCTGCCTGCATTGCCAGCACCCCAGCGTTCTAGTCCGGGTCGGGGCACCAGATTATATCCGGTTGCTCCTCTTCCAGCCCAGCTCTCTGCTGTGGCCTGAGAAGGCAGTGGAGAATGGCCCAAGTGCTTGGGCCCTGCACCTGCATGGAAGACCAGGAAAAAGCTCCTAGCTCCTGGCTTCAGATCAGTGCAGCGCTGGCCGTAGCAGCCATTTGGGGAGTGAACCAACAGAAGGAAGACCTTTCTCTCTCTCTTTCTCTCTCTCTCACTGTCTAACTCTGCCTGTCAAAAAAAAAAAAAAAATGACAGCATTTTCGTCATTTTAAAAGCTGAATAGTATTCCATTGTATATATATACCACATCTTTTTTCTTCATTTCTCTGTTGACACTTAGGTTTATTTCTTATTTTGGCAACTGTGAATAATGCTGCAATGGACATAGAAGTGTATATGTCTCTTCAACATACTAATTTTATTTCCTTTGGATATCTCCACAAAATGTGATTTTTAAATCATACGGTAATTTTATTTTTAATTTTTTTAGAAATGTCCATGCTGTTTTCCATAATGTCTATACTAATTTACATTCCCACTAACAGCATACAAGAGTTTCCTTTTCTCCATACCCTTACCAGCACTTATTTGTCATCTTAACAGGTTTGATATTATCTCTTATTGAGGTTTTATTTACATTTCTCTGATGATAGTGATATTGAGCATATATTTGTATACCACCTAGTGGATTAATCCAATATGAGTGTTTGCAATAATAAGAAGTGGAAATTTGCACAAAGAAACTCATACTAGGGAGACAGTTTGAAGACAGAGAGAAGTGACCATATTATAAATCAAGGAGAAAGGCCTATTACAGAATCTTCCATCTCAACCCAAATATGAAACCAATCCTGCCGATACACTGATCTCAAATTTCTAGATTCCATGACTATGAGAAAATAAATATCTGCTACTCAAAAAAGTTAATCACTTTGCTGTATACCAAAAATGAATGAGTATAAGCTGAAATTAGAAACACAATAACATTTACATTTATACCTGAGAATATTGAATACTTAAGCATAAATCTAACATTTATAAAGAAAAGAAAGAAGAAAGGAAAGTTCATTTCATACTTATTGTCAAAAAAGATATATAAGGAAAGCAAAAATACTCTGTTGGATAAAACCAAATAACTAAATAAATTGAGAAACATTTTGCGTTCATGAAAAGGAAGGCATAATTTTGTCAAAAAACAACATTACTTCTAAACATGATCTACGAATTCAATGCAATTCCCATAAAAATCCCATCAAATTATTTAAAGATATAAACAAACTTATTCTAAAGTTTATATGGAGAAGCAAAAGACTTGAATAGCCAGCAGAAGATTAAAGGAGATGAAAGAAGTTGGAGGACTGATAGCACCTGACTTCAAGACTTAGCACAAAGTTACAGTAACCAAGAGGGTGTTGTATTATAATAGATAATGTTGTAAAATAATAAGCAAATAGATCAATGGAACAGTGAAGGTTCTAGAAATGGACAAGCATAAATATACTCAACTGATCTTCAAAAATGGCAATACAAAGGAGAAAATTTAGTCATCTCAACAAATAGCTCTGGAATGACCAGATACCCACCTGTAAAACAATGTTTTTAAAAAAGAGTTTTAGAGGCTAGAATTGTCACAAAGCAGTTAAGCCACCAGCATCCCATATGAGAGCCTTTTGGAGTCCCAGCTGCTCCACTTTCAATCTAGCTTGGCTAATGAGCCTGGGAATGCAGTGGAAAATGGACCAGGTTCTTGGGTTCCTGCCCTCAATATAGGAGACCTGGATGAAGCTCCTGGCTCCTGGCTTCAGACTGGCCTGCCCCCAGCTGTTGTAGCCATTTGCTACAACGAATGAATGAATGAATGAATGAGTGAATCAGCTGATGGAAGATCTCTCATGATCTCTCCCTCTCTTTCTTTCTCCCTCTCTCCCCAACTCTGCCTTTCAAATAAATAATCTTTTTTAAAAATTGAGTCTAGACATAAACCTAACATCACTGACAAAAACTAACTCAGAATGGGTCATAAACCTAAATGTAAAAATATAAACTCCTGGAAAATAACATAGGCGATAATCTACATGAATTTGCATATAGCAGCAACATTTTAGATAAACACCAAAGATATGATCCACAAAAAAACTCAGTGATAAAATGGACTCTATAAGAAACTTTTTCTCTTCCAAAGATAGTGTCAAGAAAATAGGGGGCTGGCACTGTGGCTTAGTGGCTAAAGCCGTTGCCTGCAGTGCTGGCATCCCATATGGGCACTGGTTCAATTCCCAGCTGCTCTACTTCCCATCAGGCTCTCTGCTATGGTCTGGGAAAGCAATCAAAGATGGCCCAAGTGGTTGGGCCCCTGCACCCACATGATGTGGGAGAGCCAGAGGAGGCTGCTGGCTCCTGGTTTCGGATCACCTCAGCTCTAGCCGTTCCAGCCATTTAGGGAGTGAACCAGTGGTTGGAAGACCTCTCTCTCTCTCTCTCTCTCTCTCTCTCTCTCTTTCTCTGTGTGTATGTGTGCTTTTGCCTCTCTATAATTCTGTCCTTCAAATAAATAAATAAACCTTCAAAAAAGATAAGAAAACATGCCACAGACTGAGTGAAAATATTTAGAAAAATGAATCTAAGATCTGGGGCCGTCGCTGTGGCGTAGCAGGTAAAGCCACCACCTGCAGTGCCGGCATCCCATATGGGTGCTAGTTCTAGTCCTCTCTGCTCCTCTTCTGATCCAGCTCTCTGCTATGGCCTTGGAAAACAGTAGAAGGTGGCCCAAGTCCTTGGGCCCCTGCACCAACGTGGGAGACTGGGAAGATCTTGGCTCCTGGCTTCAGTGACATAGCTCTGGCCATTGCGGCCAGTTGGGGAGTGAACCAGCATATGGAAGACCTCTCTCTCTCTCTCTACCTCTCTTTCTCACTCTGTGTAATTCTGACTTGCAAATAAATAAATCTTAAATGAATCTAAGATCTGTTACTCAGAATATATAAATAACTCTTAAGAATAAATAAGTAAGCAGCTCAGTTAAAAAAATGAGCCAAACTCACTGTGGAATTCTAGCAGACATTTATAGAACATCTGACTTCAATTATTCTTAATTATTACAAAAAAATAGAACAGGAGGGAAGTCTTTCAAACTCCTTCTATGAAACCAATATTACCCTGATACCAAGACGAGTCAAGAACAAAAAAAAAAAAAAAAAAAAAAAAAAAAAAAAAGAAGAAGAAGAAGAAGAAAGTTACAGGCAAATATCATTAATAAAGCATAGATTTAACAATCAACATAATATTAGCAGACTGAGTCCCATAGCACATTAAAAATATTATTCAGCATGATTAGCCCTGTGATGGAAGCATGGATCAGTATTTGTAAATCAATAAATATAACACTCAATCAATAAAATGAACAATAAAAATTATATAATCTACTCAATTAGATGCAAAAAGGGCATTTGATAAATTCAATATCCCTTCATGAGAAAAACCTCTGAACAAATTCAGTACAGAAGAAACATACCTCAACATGAAAAAGGCCTTGAATAGCAGCCAACAGCTAACATCACATTGAATGAGGAAATGTTGAAGTCTTCTCTAAAATCTAGAACAAGACAAGGATATCCAGTTTCACCATATTTATTCAACATAGTACTATAAGTCCTAGCAAGACCAATTAGGAAAGAGAAAGAGTGCACAACTTAGAAAAGAGAAAGTCAAATTGTCACTGTTTACAGATGGCATGAACTTTTAGGCAAGTACATAAAGATATTTGGGTGAAATGAATTTAAAAGATAAGCTTATTCTGGTTCAACAAAAATTGAAATACATGTGTTGTGTATTTTATAATACTCGTTTTTCCATGTACATTTTGAAGTTCTCATGTGCATGGATTTTAAAATATTTTTATAGTTGGAGACAAGATGCTGAAAGAGGAATGGAGCTTACTAATAGCCCTGAAGAAGACAGATTAATAAAAGTGAAGATAGTGTAGTCTCAGGGAAGTGTTAGGGAAAAAATGGCAGAGGAAACTCTTCAGTAATTAGAGGGACATGGTGGACCTACGTGGAGGGCACAGGCACCCACAGTTTGGGATTCCAGCTGTTGAGAGCCTCCACACCAGTGCTGGAAAGTGAGGTGACATAAAACCACAGTAGCCTGAGACACTGGTGGAAAAGCAGCAGGAAGAGCCTAGAGGGAACAAAGCTTGAAGCCCCATGGGGGAAAATACACCAGCCTAACTAGAGATGAGAAAAAACAAAAGGGATGGTACAGATACGATTCTCTCTCTTCAATAATCTTACAAAAGCCTACGAGCCAATAGAGCAGGCACCATTTTGGACATACATAACAGCTGCGCCAGCTCAGGGCTGCACCAAGCAATCAGCCAAACAGAAAAACCTGACTCTGCTTGGGAGTAATAACTGGAGACTAGACCTAGTCAATGTGTGGAGCTTATGAACTGGTACTGTGAAAAAAAATGAGAGTGTGTGAGAGAACTCATGGTGTGGCTGAGACTTGAGGAGTCTCACTGGGAGACGCCACAAACTCCGGCAGCCATGGCCACACAGTGAGAGACATTGCAGGGAAATCTGAGCTTACACTGAAGACTGCACAGTTCCTTTGTGTGATCCTTGGGACAGAGCAGACAAATATTATACCTACTGGGGCTAGTGCTCATGCACTGATCCCCATAAAGAAGAGCTCAGCTGAGCGGAATTACTTCCCTTCTGATTAAAAGGAGAGAGAGAGAGAGATTTACCATGCCAAACCTGGGTGTGTCACATTAGGCAAAACCTTAACCCTGAAAACCTGAACAGAGCTCTCTAGCCACACCAACCACAAGCCTCTAGAAAGACACTGAAAGCAGACAGTCCAATTACAAATGCCAAACAACAAATGCAACAACCGAGGAAACAAGAAAAAGGAAGACAACATGATGCTCCCAAAAGAACATGACACATCAATACAAGATTATGAAGACGACAAGATAGAAGAAATGCAACAAATGGAAGTCAAAAAAATTTATGATAAGAATATTTAGAAGTAACCAAAAACAAATGAATGAACTACTGAAATCCATGAGGGACGTGAAAGTAAATCTCTATTATGAAAATGAAATCTTAAGGAAGAATCAAAATGAAATGAGGTATTTAATAGAACATGAAATTGAGATATTGAAGAGAAATCAAAATGAAATTAATTCAATAGAACAAATAAAAAACACAGTTGAGAGCCTTAAAAACAGAATCAGGATGGTGCCGCGGCTCACTAGGTTAATCCTCCGCCTGCGGTGCTGGCACCCGGGGCTCTAGTCCCGGTTGGGTTGCCGGATTCTGTCCCAGTTGCTCCTCTTCCAGTCCAGCTCTCTGCTGTGGCCTGGGAAGGCAGTAGAGGATGGCCCAAGTGCTTGGGCCCTGCACCCACGTGGGAGACCAGGAGGAAGCACCTGGCTCCTGGCTTCGGATCGGCGCAGCATGCTGGCCTTAGCAGCCATTTCAGGGGTGAACCAACAGAAGGAAGACCTTTCTCTGTCACTGTCTCTCTCACTGTCTAACTCTGCCTGTCAAAATAAATAAATAAATAAATAAATAAAATAAAATAAAAAATAATAAAAACAGAATCAGTGAGGCAGAAGAGAGAATATCAGACTGAGAAGACAGAGCACAGGAAAGTATACAGTCAAACCAAAGAAAAGAAGAGGAAATTAGAAATCTAAAAAATATTGTTGGAAATCTATAGGATACTATTAAAAACCCAAAATTCTGGTTCTAGGAGTCCCTGAAGGCATGAGAGAGAGAAAGGATTAGAAGGTATTTCTAGTGAGATACTAGCAGAAAACTTCCTAGGTTTGGAGAAAGACATATCCCAGTACAGGAAGCACACAGAACTCCCAAAACACATGACCAGATGAGATCCTCACCACAACACGTTGCAATCAAACTCACCACAGTGAAACATAAAGAAAAGATCCTAAAACATGCAAGAGAGAAACTTCAAATTACTCTCAGAGGACCTCCAATTAGACTCACAGCAGACTTCTCATCAGAAATCCTACAAGCTAGTAGGGAATGGCGAGATATAGCCCAAGTACTAAGAGAAAAAAACTGCCAGCCCAGAATATTATATCCTGCAAAGCTCTCATTTGTGAATGAAAGTGAAATAAAGACCTTTCATAGCAAAAAGAAATTGAAAGAATTTGTCACCACTCGTCCAGCCCTGCAAAAGATGCTTAAAGATGTGTTACACACAGAAACACAGAAACACGACCATCAATACAAAAGAAGGTAAAGGAAGAAAATCTCTCAGTAAAAGATCACAGGAAGTTCAAAGAATATATTAGAAATATCTTTGGGAAAATGGCAGGCAAAGTCACTACTTAAAAATAGTCACATTGAATGTAAATGGCCTCAACTCTGCAGTTAAAAGACACGGACTAGCTGAATGGATTAAAAAACAAAACTCATCTATTTGGATTTAACTAAACTAAAAAGCGTCTGCACTATAAATAATCAAGAGTATGAAGTGACAACATAGAAAATTGCATAGAATGTTTGTAAACCCTATATTTAACAAGAGTTAATAATAAGAATATATAGAAAATTAAAACAACTCAATAGCAAAAATATAATGAGAGACCTGAGCCTGGATCAAGGTGCAACTATTTTAAAATAGGCCTCAATCTTGTAACTCGGACCTGAATGGGCCTCAACCCTGAGCCAGAAGCTCCTAAAAATAAATAAATGAGCTCCCCTGGCAATAAATTCCCCTAGTAACAGCCAATCAGCAGATAGCAGGGAAATACCTAAAGTACCAGGTGTCTTTTCAGGGCAGTTAAGGTGATTATTAACACCCCAAGATTCTACAGTTTCACACAAACATCCCTGCAGCTCAGACCCTATACTTTAGCCAATCAAGTTAAGAGGCATTAACCCCAAAGCCAACTGCCTTTACTAGGCCCATTCCTGCCACTGGATGCACTAATCAGTTTTTAGAGATGTTCTTTGAATTACCTGTGAAATGAGATGATTTGCTGAATAGTACTATAATGTATAAAATGTCTCTGAAAACCCTATAAAAACCCTGTTAACTAAAAAGTCAGGGCTCTCAATTCAAATCTGCTGCATCAGTGATAGTTGAGAGTCCAGACCCAGGCCTGTAATAAAAATCTCATGTGTTTTATAGCAGTATCAGCTCCTTGGTGGTCTTTGGGGAAAATAGAACTGGGCATAACAATAATAATCCAAATTAAAAATGGACCTTAAACCTAAATAGATATTTTTCAAAGGAATGCATACAATAGCCAATATGTACCTGAGAAAATACTCAGCATCACTAATTATCAGAGAAATGAGAATCAAAATCAGAATAAGACCATCTCTATTATCAAAAAACAGAGGATAACAAATGAAGGCAAGAATGTGGAAAAAAGGAAACTCTTGCACACTTTTAGTGGGAATATAAATTAATATAGCCATTGTGGAAAAAAGTATAGAACTTCCTCAAAAAACTAATAATAGAACTACATTATGATCCAACAATCTCACTCCTGGGTATATATCCATGGGGAAAAATTAAGTATGTCTAAGAGACATCTGTACTGCCATGTTTATTGCATCGTTATTCACAATAGACAACAAATAGAAATAAACTAGGTGTCCATCAACAGATGAAGGGCTAAATAAAATTTGGTACATATACAAAATGAAATATGATTCAGCCATTAAAAATATGAAACTTTGTCATTTTCAACAACATGGATGGAACTGGAGATCATAAGTGAAATAAGCCAGGCACAAAAAGATAAGTACCTCATGTTCTTACTCAAATTTGGAATATAAAAAAGTTTTTATCATAGAAGTTGAGAGTAGAATGATGTCTGCCAGAGAGTGGGAAGAGTAGGGGGTACAAGAGAGTTAGAAGGTAGATTAACAGGTACTAAGTTATAGTTAGTAAGAATAAAGAAGTTCTGGTGTTTTATTGCACAGTAGAATGACTATATAACATTCTTTAAATGGTAAAACTATAGGGACAAAAAAAGATTGGTGGCTTCCAGATTTTGAGGAGGAGGAAGAATAAATAAGTGAAGCACAGAATATTCTTTGATTAGTGAAAATACTCTGTGTGACACCATAATGGTGCAGATGTCAGTACACAGTTTTCCAAACCTATAAAATGTTCAAAACCATGGAAGAACTCTAATGTAAATGATAGACTGTTTGTGTTTATGATGTGTCAATGTAGGTTCATCGATTACAATAAATATATCACTTTTGTCGCAGATGGCTGATAATGGGACAGGCTATGTGTGGGCAAGAGCAGGAAATACATGGGATATCTTTGTACCTTCCTTTTAATTTTGCTATGAACCTAAAACTACTCTTTAAAAAGTAAAGCTTTTACCTTTGTTTGCAATGTAAATTGAAAATATATTATCTCAAGTATCTGAAAGAGAGAGAGAGAGAGAGAGAGAGAGAGAGAGAGAGAAAGAGGCAGGGAGGGAAGGCCCAGAAGAGGGACATATCATTATATTATTAGAATTGTACCTATGAAATATGTGAAATCTGTTCTCTTTAAACAATAAAAAATTTTAAAAATAAGTTC